GTATCACCGCTAGAGAAGGTGTTTTATTTAAGGGATGCCCATGGCAAGTTAAAAACATATCTGTCTGTGTGTCTGTCTGTCTGTTTTTATAATATATTACTAGCACTACCTCGGATCATTAAAACATTTCAGCACTAATGCTGTTTACTTTTTGCATTTCATTAGTCTCCAAGAGCAAAAACAGGGTCAAGCCTTTTGCTTATGTTTCAGATCTACCCGTAGTTAGTTTCCCATTCTGATTTATACGCACTAGCACAAAGCTGTGATGATTGGGTTGCAAATGCTGCAGGGGAACATCTAAATGTGAACAAAAAATCTTTTGTAAATTATATTTTAAAAATTATTAACAATTATTATTGTTAACAATACTCATCAAAAAGTGGGGCCTAAACAACTTAATCTCCTTTTAAACCCACAGACTGTTAACACAGAGACTAAAGGTCTAAAGGTAACAATAGAGGGCATCTCAGTGTGGCCAGGGAGCGATTTCTGAACAACTCTGGTTACTCCCACAGGTACAGTCTCTCCAATTAAGGACAAAGGGATCATTACAACAGCAGCAGCCAGAATGTTGCTCTTCATATTCATGCAGTAGGAGAGGCTGTCTGTATGGAGAAAACATGGAAGGGAGAGAATACTAATGCTTTGCATCTGTACAGCAACTTTCTCCAGAGGATGATTTTGAAGTGCTTAAAATGAATGTGTGTTTATGGAGTGTGCTTTTTAAGGAGCAAAACCACACACTGATACCTACATTCACAAGGCTGGCTGTGAGCCTTGCTCTTTAGTCACATTTGTAGATGTCTGCATTACAGTCATTTCTGGGATCTAAGAGGGCACTGTAATGTCACACACTGCTTAATACTCATAGACATAATGAGAGTTGTGCTGCAAAATGCTGCTTGGTGCTTTGAAAACTAACTCCACAGAGAGGATTCATTTTTCTTGCTTTGCAATTAACATTGATTTACAAAAATGTTTTCGTATCATGTTGTGATGTTGCACTCTACATGATTTTATGAAAATATGCTAATGAGCGTGAATATAATGTAACTGGAATATGCTTCATGCAAGAGGTATGTTGTAAGGTATCATTACAAAGCTTATAATCTACTGAATGTGGTCATCCAGTTTGTATAAATGTATCATTCTTGTATCTGAAACTAGAAATATGAAATATAACTCTGCGGTCCTATTGTAATTATGCAAAGTGTGGGCCATTAATGGTGGCTTGGAATCTTGATGGCTCCCATTAACCAGGACAATTGACTGTAGATGGCTCTGTTTACTAGTAAGTCTTCCTGTATACCTGTGTGCTGGCAAGTGGGAAATGAAGTCTTACAGTGACATGTGATCATGTCACTTGAACTGGAATCCATCTTTAACCTGGTGCTTTTCCATTCAGAAGGAGGGTGGGAACCCAGAGAGGGACAAAGGATTCCCGCCTTGTGCCAATGGTATATAAGGGGGTGGAACAGAGCAAAGGGGGCTCCAGTCATGAGAAATCCCCTAGCTACCACCTGAGCTGGAACAAGGACTGTACAGGGGAAAGGATCGGGCCCAGACTAGAAAGGAGTCTAATCTTTGAAAGAAGCTTATTGGAACATCTCTGAGAGTGAGGTTTCATCTGTAATCAGTTTCTTACTGTATTAGGCTTAGACTTGCGTGTTTTTGTTTTATTTTGCTTGGTAATTTACTTTGTTTTGTCTGTTATTACTTGGAACCACTTAAATCCTACTTTTTATATTTAATAAAATCACTTTTGCTTATAAATTAACCCAGAGTAAGTAATTAATTCCTGGGAGAACAAACAGCTGTGCATATCTCTCTATCAGTGTTGTAGAGGGCGGACAATTTATGAGTTTACCCTGTATAAGCTTTATACAGAGTAAAATGGATTTATTTGGGGTTTGGATCCCATTGAGAGCTGGGTGTCTGGGTGCTAGAGACAGGAACACTTTCTAAGCCATTTTCAGTTAACACTGCAGCTTTTGGGGGATGTGGTTCAGACCCAGGTCTGTGTTTGCAGCAGGCTAGCGTGTCTGGCTCAACAAGACAGGGTACTGAAGTCCCAAGCTGGCAGGGAAATCAGTAGTCTCAGCACATCAGGTGGCAGTCCCAAAGGGGTTTCTGTGACCCAACCCATCACACACGTCTTTTGTTGGGTGTCAAAATTAACTTTTGTACTTGTCGTCGAGGCATGGGAGGTGGGCTTGGGTGGTTTGGGGCTTGGGAGTGGGTTAGAGCTACAGCTGGTAGAAATGTTTTCAATGGAATGGTTTTCCATCGGAAAGTGCTGATTTGATGGATTCCAAACATTCTGTGGGAACATGCAAAACTTTCAATGAAGACCAGCTTGTTTACCTGGAGGCAATTGGCCAGCATAACCATTCTGGAATAACTATTCTGGAATCGCTATTCTGATATAATTTAGTTGTTCTGGAATACCTCCCCATGTAGACACTGTTCCAGAATAAAAGTGATTTTATTCTGGAATAATTACTCTGCTTTGTGAGTGTCCACACAGAGAGCTATTCCAGAATAGCTATTAACATAATAGCTAGAGATCAATCCATATGGTGCTTGATCTGCAGGGAGTCTATGTCCCTTGGGATTTGCTTTGATGATGATGATGTATTCTGGAATAGCTATGCCAGTCAATTTCCTTGTGTAGACAAGTGTTGAGTTAGAAAGGGAGTTATTATCTAGGCTTTGTTCTGAGTAAGGGAGGGGAAGGAATGTCTAACGCTGCAGAGGCACCTGTCAAGATCTGCTGCCTTCAATAAAATGAACAGCACAATACAAATTTCCTTTCAGATCGATAGTCATTTTTGACAGGGATACAGAGCTAACAGCCACCTTCATTTCCTCCTCTTGCTCTGGTCTCTGACTTTTTTCCATGCAGTCTTGTATGCCTGTAACCACCTCCCAATCTCTCCACCCAGTCCTCTCCTCTTTCATTGCCTGATCCAAACCCCATTGAAGTCAATACTAGGAGTCTTATTGACTTCAGAGGGCTTTGGACCAGGCCCTCAAATCCTTACTCAAAACTCACTTTGTCCAGGCGTCCTATTAATCCCACAAAGCCACGGTGAGCACATTTTGGGGGGAGAATGTGTACAGACAACTAAATGTGAAACCACATAACATCCCTATGGCACATTAGGAGGGTTCAAATCCAGACGGATGAGGGGCTGTGTCGCTGCTCGCCCTGCATCCCTGGGTGCCTTACGATGCTTTCCTGCTTGAGAGAGAGCACAGACAACCAAATCTGGAACCACAGCATATATGTCTAACATCCCTACTCACCCTGTCATATTTTTCACATCCAGTTCCCCAATCTCTCTTTTCTGTCTGTTGTCTCTTTAAGATCCTCAGGGTGGGGATGTTGTCTCCTTACTTATTTGTAAAGTGCCTGGTGCACCTTGGTGCTATGTAAATAATCATGAGGACGCATGGCCGACAGACAGGATCATCAATAGGAAAGGGTGACAAGGATGCATTTTCCAGCATCGCACTTTTTTTTTTTGAATGCAGCCTAGTGTTTATAAACAATACCTAAACACATGGCAAACATCTGCATTGCTTCTAGCCCTGGAGAGTCCCCAGTGGTACATGATGTCCTGTCCTACCTTGTTAGCAGAGCTTTTCCCTGGTAGGCTGCAGAAAGGGTGGGCTGCTCCTGCATTCCCCCCTTAAGGTTACTCGTGCAGTATTTATGGGCATGCCTCTCCCACTGTAATCAGCATGTGTCTGGCATGTAAACACACAGCAGCCCACAGTCACTTGGGCACACGTGCCTTTGTGTTTATCACAGTGATGTTTTTCTTCATTAATGTCAAAACAGAGCAAGGCTGCCTGTAGCTCTTAGGAGCAGGGCCGTGTCTCCCTTTTATGTTTGCAAAGCAGTGACCTCGCTCTGGGTGCTCAATAAATAACAAATAACCATGTCATTGTTGTTGTTTTTTGCTCACTGTGGTGTCAATAGTTCTCCATGATAGTGCACTCTCACCAAGGTCACTTCCGACTATCTCTTTCCAATACCCTGAATCACAATCCGTGGCCAGTGTTTTGTCAACCTTGATGCTCATTTCAAGGCATCCTCAGCCTCAACGGCTGGTTTCTAAGTGGCTATTATTGGTTAACACTGTAAATAGTCCCAGACCCTGAAGAGCTTGCGGTTTTATAAGCAGCACAAAGAAAGAGCGGGAGAAAGAGAGCATTATTATCCCAGTTTCACCGTGGGGGGGGGGGGGGGAAGGGAGGGAATGAAGCACAAAGATTAAGAGCTTTGTGCAAGACGACAGCAACTCTGCGTTAGCGCGGAGAACTGCACCCCAATCCCCAGAACAGCCATCGAGGGCCGTAACCACAAGCCCCTTCTGACGCTCAGGAACCACAAGCCCCCTTCGCAACGCCAGAGCCTGTTGTGTGAGCCCGCCGCCGGAGCGGAACAGCTGGCACGCTCCACCCCAGAGGCGGCTGCATTTCAGCTGTCAGCAGAAGGCGGCTGGGAGACCACGCGGGAGGCTGTTGTTCAAGCACAGACCAGCGCTTGGCGCAGGACACGCTGCAAGGGCTTTTGGTCTCCCCGTGCAAGCCCGGCACCTTCCCCGGTTTTGCCAAAACACCAGCGGGAATTTTATTTAAAAAAAAAACCAAAAAAATTAAAACCAAGAACAACGAAGGGGAAACTCCCGCTCCAGGTTCACGGCCGGCCCCGCAGCCCACGGCCCCAAAGAAGCCCCCCGGGGGCACGCGGAGGCGGCTCCTTTGTTAGCCGCAGCCTGCGGGGCCGGGCGCGCCCGGCGGCCGCCCGTGTCACTCCGGCAACGCACAATGCCGCCCGGCCCCGCCCCCCGGCGCCCCAGCCCGTCGGCCATTGGCGGGGCGGCGCCCCACGCCTGCCGTCACGGGGCCGGGCCCGGCGGGCGATTGGCTGGGCGCTCCCTCGCCGGCGCGAGGCGCGAGGGGGCGGGGGCAGGCCGGGCTCGCGGCCGGCTGTCACAGCGAGCCGCGGAGGGATGGTGCGGCGGCCGGCGGCCGGGCAGCGCGCATCGCACGCGGGCGGGCGGGCGGCGCGGATGGGGCAGCGCTGCGCGGCGCCATGAGGGTCCCGCGGAGCCCGGCGCGGCTCGCCCTGCTCTGGCTGGTGGCCGCCCTGGCCGCCGGCTCGCTGCCGCGGGGACCCAGCCCGGCCCCGGGCGCCGAGGCGGGGAACGAGCTCAGCCCCGAGGCCGCCGCGCCTCAGCCCACCTTCGCCGCCACCCTGGGCAGCCCCCAGCCCAGCGCCGCCGCGGGGCGAGCGCGGCCGGGAGCCCCGGAGCGGGCGAGCCTGGCGCCGGGGCGGGCGAGCCTGGCGCCGGAGCGGGCGAGCCTGGCGCCGCCGGGAGCCCAGCCCGGCCCCGGCACGGCAGCCTCCCCGGTGGCGGCAGGTTCTCCCCGGCCCAGCCAGTGGCCCAGCACCGGCCTCCCCGCGGCAGTCCCGTCCCCACCTGCCGAGCAGGAGGACGTGGCCACCGGCGGCAGCCAAGGTGAGTCCCCGCCCCGCCCTGCTGCCTCTTTTGCCCCGCGCGGGGGGGACCATCCAGGGAGCCGCGGGCTTGAGCTGGGAAGGGGCCGAGGAGGACGATGCTCAGGGTGCGCAGTGATGCCTGAGGCTCCTGAATGTTGAGCCAGCGCCAGAGGGAAACAGCCCCGGTGCCTCCCTGTCCCCCAGCTGCCGGGGACGATGGACGCTTCTGCTGATGGGGGCAGATGTAGACAGGCCAGGAGAAAAATGTTTGCTTCCACTTCCCCCACCCCGCTTCCCCCTCCAGGAAAGCCTGGGCGATCATCTGATGTTGAGCCGTGGTCAGCAAAGGGTCGTTTTTCTTTTTTGTCGTTCCGCTGGTTTTCTCACCTCCCTGCGGCGCTGGTTGTCTTTTTTTTTTTTTTTTTCTTGTGGTACATTTGGGTCATTCGTGGCATTTAAAATAGAAGACCCCGCAGAGGGATTTTCAGGATCAGGCCACATAAAGTTTGGTTTAAAGATAAGCAAGGGGCAGGTGTAAACTTGATCAGTTGCACATTAACAGAGGGTGGAGGCTTTTAGCTTTTCATTCACGGCTATTTCTCCTGTACGTCTGTGTTGATGACATATGGACGGTAATGACAAATGGACACAGGATAAAACCACAGACGAGAGTGGGAAGCTTTATGCTAGGCAGATGCCTGATGTCCGGTATCTACCTTGACAGACACCTGCTGTTTTTACCTTTTTATTACACTTTGGCAACACTGCTCATGCAAATACAAAAAAATTAGTTTTATTGAGCTAGAATATACCCAGTATTTCACCTCTGGTTTTTATAAATGGATGTGAGGGTGAGAAAGAAAATGTGGAATTTTGTTATGTACACATACTAACCCTTATTATGGGTTTGATCGTGCTCCCATTGAAGTCAATGGGAATTTAGAAATTGGATTGAATAGTAGCAGGGTTCCATGCCCCTATATTAAATAATGCTTGTACAAGCAAAGATCAGATTTTTCTATTGATCAAGGAGCCAACAAGGAGGAGTTTCATTTAAAAGAAACTTATTTTTAGAGCCTTTTATATTCTGAATTGTACATGGAGAGGAGGGGGTAATTGTTTGTGATGCCTTCAAGCAATGGTTTCCAGCACAAATAGTACAAATAAAGATGCACTAGGCTCCAATTCTGCTCCCTTTGACCTTGATGACAAAATTCCCATTGGCTTCAAAGGGAGCAGGGTTGGATTCATGTTGTGTTGATAAAGGGGGCATGTTAGCCATAATGGGGGATGGGGTAAAATCTATACAACACCCGTGACACACCTGTATATCTATCCACTGAATGCATCCGATGAAGTGAGCTGTAGCTCACGAAAGCTTATGCTCAAATAAATTTGTTAGTCTCTAAGGTGCCACAAGTACTCCTTTTCTTTTTGCTAATACAGACTAACAGGGCTGCTACTCTGAAACCTGTATATCTATAGGTATTTATAGATATATATGGCCGGGGGGGAACCTGGGATGCTTGTAGGAGAATACATGGAAGAAGTGTCTTTGGTATAATCACAAGTACAGATGATGATGATTGATCCCTGAGTGTGCAAGGGATGGAGAGGGCACAAGACACCTTCTCCTCTGTCTTGAGTCACTTGTGCAGGGGCCCAGGAGAAGATGCTCGGCACAAGAATAGCTCCTAGCTAGAGCAGCAGCACCTTTAAAGGGGCAGGGAAGAATGTGGAGGAGGGCACGATCATCCTTCCACCCTAGCCAGCAGAACTGGGCAGGTTCAGAAGGGAGACCACACTACATCTTTAAGGGATGTAGCAACCAGTGTGTGCCCACTGTAAGGCATTGTGCTCCCTGGCCAGCCCCTAAAAGGCAAGTTGAGTCATAAGAGTAAGAGATTCTATCCACACGCCGGTGACAGGAAATTTACGTAGGCTGGGATTCGTGGTACTTGTTTATGTGGATGCTGTCTAAATTCTGTATATTGGGGAGGAGGGAAAGGGATATGTAAATGATGAGTATTTGCCAAGACTTTGGGAGGAGCCTGTGCAAATGCAATGCCTGATTTTTCATGTGAGTTAAAAAGGCCTTCAGCTTTTTTCCATTCTGGGAAGTATCACAACATAGTCATAATCAACTCTAGGGCTGATTCTGCTTCAGTTGAATTCAGTGGAGCTATACCCAGTTATACCAGTTGAGTATCTGAACCTTATTTTTGTATTGGCTCTTCCATACATCTATATCCCCAAAATGCCTTAAAGAGCCATTATGGGAAAGGGTGAGATATGAAGCAGCAGAGGCCAGGGAGAAAAGCTGTTTTCAGCTGAGATTTGAAGTGATATGGAGAATTAGCGAGGTGGAGCATACACCCCTCTCCAGAGCTTTTGTGTTCTCATCCACATGTGTTGGAAACTCAGTTTTCTCCTAATGAAAGTAGACAAAACTCCGCTGAAGTCAATAGAGCTATTCCCATTTACTCCCGCAGAGAATTTGTCCCTATAATTTCAGAAACGAAGACTGTTTATACAGACAGACACTTATAAATACACCAACACTGAAGATATTTTGAAGAAACAATGTTAAATTCCGGACAAGGATGTGAAACTGGATGGTATTTTGCTGCTGCTTTTTACCACTTCAGCAGTCAGCGTCCTTTTGAGCAGATGATTTCAGCCAACTTTTCTTACATGGCTAGAAATGTGGTTTGTGGGAAACCTGGATTCTTCCCCTTTCCCACCCACACCCTTTTGTTTCTGTTGTGTTTTGTGTCTTTATTTCCTTTTGAAGACACAGGATGGTTTAAGGTTGGAAATGATAGATAAGACTAGGAGCAGGTTGTATTTCTCAGAGCAAAAGCAACCTTCTCAGTTGTACAATGATTAAACTTCATCTGCTCTGTCAACAAACTAATTGAGTGAGTTGCAGTTTCCAGAATATGTAGTTTGAACCTGAGGGCCTGAAGTATTGAGAGTGAATAGACAGGTTGTTGAGTCATATAAAGTAAATATTCTCCAACTGATTTTATGCCTAGTGTTTCTCTGCTAACTGGTTGAAATCTGTTGGGAGAGAAGATGACTTATATTAGGAGCAGCCACTATAGCCACCACCCAGAAATGTTTATGGTCATGTCTGGAAGTACTGTAGTGTATCACCTCTAAAACAGGTAATGCAGTACCAGAAAGTACTCCTCTATTACGCAGCCTCCACAAGGACAGTACTTCTAGCAGCAGTATCTTGGAATTATATCCAAACCCCTCACCTTTTAAGGCTAAGAGAACCAGGGCCTCTTGATTTCATGCTTTATTGAGACAGTGAGCGGAGCTGTCTAGTTTCCATATAGACAAAAGTACAAGTATCCTGCATAGATGATGCAAGACGTGAAAGGAAAGCTCAAAATTTAATGAGGATCCTCACTCTTCCATGTTCTGTGCATGATTCTTCCATGTTCCATGTATGATTCTTGCATGTTTGCTGGGATGGGTGGTTTCAGTTAAGGACTGGGAGTCAGGAATTCTTGAGTCTAATCCCAGTGCTGCCTCTGACCTCCCCTCCCTGCCCCGGGGCAAGTTACTACACCTGTCTGTACTTCAGTTTCCTCATCTGTAAAATGGGAACAACAATACTTCCCTTATCTACTGCAGGGATGGAAAGAAAATTTGTTAATCATGCTTGTGAAGCTCTTAGAAGTTGATAAATGCTAATTATTATTAATAGCTACAGCCAGTTGATGTCCACATTATTCATCTTTGGTGCCTTTAATACCGCAATGATAGGCACCTTAGAAACACCTCTGTGGACAGGTTACACTCACTCTTGCATGTTGTTCGTTAGTAAAGGCAGTTTGAGTTTGATTCATGGAGGGTTTAATGTACAGTAACAGATGTAATGGGTTTAGGCCACCAAGTCCGGAATACATGAACCAGGAGAGCGGCTTCCTTTTTGTGTGTGCAACATAGTTCATTTTAATCCGAGGCACATACCTGATTTCATATGGAAAAGCCTGTTTGATTTGCGAAGTTGGTATATGTGGTAGGCACAGCCATCAGCCTGCACCCTAGTTAATCCATATATTTTTAGTACTGTTCCAGTCTATGAAGTATCACTGGGAATCCTGTAGGGGCAGAGATTCATTTTCAAACAGTCATGTGTGGTTTTAACCGCACGACTACCATTACAATCAATGGCCATCACATGGCTGACTACAGAAATGGACCCCGTTTTATCAAGGCTGCATTTACTCTCAACACTACTATTGCAACCCATAATGGGGAGAATAACATTTTATTGGAAGCTGGTGGGCTGGATTCTCATCTGGTTTAAATAAGGAGCAACTCCATTGGAATGAATAGAGTTACGCTGGTGTCAGAGTAGTGTAAATGGGAGGAAAATCAGGCCTAATGTTTGTTTGGCTCTGTCAAGATGTGAAGTGCTATTTAAGTGCTGTTACTATTAGTTTATTAGCAATGTATTTTTTCCTTCCACACATCAGTTTACAGCTGTTTCAACAGTAGGTGCAGTGTTGTCAACTCTTGTGACTTTTATCACTAGTTTCGTGATATGTGATGTGGCTTTTTCCCCGAGTCTCAGCTCCTGAAGTCATGTGATAATATCAGAACCTCAGCTTTCATTTATAAGAAAAGTAAGTTTCTAGCCCTCAAGGTTGTGGAGAAAAGCTTGAAAATTTGACCTCTCAAGGCTCCAACAAGGGAAGCAAATAAAGAGTCCCCAATTTTTTTTAAAGTTACTATCTTTAAGTGAATCTCAGGATTTTTCAGGGGCTTAGCTCTTTGTGTGTGGGGGGTGATAGGGGGAGGCATTGATGATTCCGATCTTGGGAGTGGCTAGGCAGGTCATTTAGTTCATTATAGTCAAGGTTTTTGTTTTCCATACACAGAGAGCAAAATATTTTTCAATCCAGAAGATTTATTTGTATCAGATGAACAAACCAGAGAGAACAAATGCAAAATCTTCATGAGAGAAAGATCAGAATGTGTCTCTCACTGTATAAATCC